TACATATATATATATATACATGTGTATGTACACATATGTATGTACATACATATATACATGTATATATATATATATACATATACATATATATGTATATACATGTGGCCTGTATGTGTGTTGCAACGGTGTACAAAGAAAACCTAGGCTAGAACGCACCAAGCGAGCCGGTGCAATCATGCGTTTTTGCATCAAACTTGAAGTAATTAGGTCAACTGCATGAACGGTTGTTTCTTCAAACTTACCTTGTGTGCTTAATACCGTAAATCATCGTAAATTTTGCATAAAAAGGAACAAACAATTTCCGTTTAGCGGTTTAACAATTTAACAATTTCCCGCCAAAAAGGTTTCACGGGACCGTGCGTGAGAATCACGTACGGCTAGAGAATGAATTTGATAACTTTAAGTCGTACATAGGCTAAGAACATCTCCTGAAAATTTCAGCCTCCCAGCTTTGCTAATTCCCAAGCTAGCCATTTTCCCACCAAAAAATTTCGCGAGGCCGTACGTGAGAACCACGCACGACTGGGGGATGAATTTGAAATCTTTGAGTTATATGACGAGGAACATAACCTCAAAATTCAGCCTTCTCGCCCCCGAGTTACTAATTTTCCCGCCAAAACTTCCACCCCCTCGTACGGGGGGCCCAGACTTGCGTGAGGATTGGCACCTACTAGCAAAATCTTGGCGCTGGAAATTGCTTGGCTGCCGAGTTGAAATACCCGGACAGGCGAACACACACACAGACAGGGTCGTCGCAATATGCGTTTTTGCAATTTGCATATAGACGAAAATGCATAAAAATGAAAGTAACCTGAAAGTGAGTGGTTCGTGTAGACCGGGAAGAAGCTCGGTGAAGAGGAACGAGGGTAGCATGAAGGCGATGAAGATGAGGCCCAACAGAAGTGCGGAACAGATGCGGAGCAGCGTCGGAAGTGTCGCATAGGGGCAGAGGCCACGTGCGCCTGTCCACTGGCGCATCCACGTCACTGTCGCCATGCCGGCCACGCAAACGCAAGCTCTTCACGCTGCTGCACCGACTGTCAACACTACGGCGCCTGACAAGAGGCCAACTGCGTGCAGCATCCTCTCGAGAATTTGCCGTTCAGCGCAAGTGAGAACAGTGCCCCGCAATTGCTCTTGACGCTTCTTCCCACAGCATCCCAGGTAACCCAGCCCACGACATCCAGCCAAACACCACCCCAGTACAATGCAACGAAGAGGCTTCAATTCCCCGTCAATTTCATACTTGGGCAATTAGACAATTACAATAACTCGGCTCGGCTCGTCTCGTCTCATACACAAGCCGCAAAAAATTTTTTCTCCCGACGGCGGGTGGGGCTACCCCACGGCGGATAGCGGCAGTTTGAATGTGGGAGGTGGAAGTGAGGGTGGTATGTGGCGAGTTTTGCTCGCGGCAAGGGAGGGGGCTAGGATACGTGGATATAAAAAAAACTAAATGGCATAGATCCTTTGCCAATTGAATAATTAACGTACACTTGCGACGAAAG